TCTTCCTGGATGAGCCATCCACTGGCATGGACCCCGTGGCCCGGCGCCTGCTTTGGGACACCGTGGCCCGGGCTCGAGAGGCTGGCAAGGCCATTGTCATCACCTCCCACAGGTAGCACCTGCACCCCTGTGGATTAGTGGAAGAGACTAAACAGGGGTTGTGGGACAAATGTGGGGAAGGGGTGGGAGAGCAGAAGACCTCTCAGCAGCTGGTACAAAGCCTGCCAGAAGATTCCCAGGCTCTGCACATGAGCTAGACTCTGAGCATGGGAATCAGGAACAGGCTGATCAGGGCATTGACAGCCATCTGTCTGCACAAGCCTTGTACAACTAGAGCGGGCATCAGCTTCCTCTAGCCCTGTCTTAGGCTTCCACCCTTCTCCCCAGCATGGAGGAATGTGAGGCCTTGTGCACCCGGCTGGCCATCATGGTGCAGGGTCAGTTCAAGTGCCTGGGCAGCCCTCAGCACCTCAAGAGCAAGTTTGGCAGTGGCTACTCCCTGCAGGCCAAGGTCCGGAGCGAAGGGCAGCTGGAAGCACTAGAGAAATTCAAGGCATTTGTGGACCTGACCTTTCCAGGTGTGTGCTGAACCACTGCCTGGGCCTCTGTCAGCTGCTATGTAGTATGTGCCTCACCTCACCAAGTCCCACATCCCTGACCCCTGGGACGAGGACCACAGTCCTGTGCACCAGGCCACCCTCCCCATCCCTTCAGCCCGGTCTCACAGGAACATGGTCTCTCCTTTGTGTAGGAAGCGTCCTGGAAGATGAACACCAAGGCATGGTCCACTACCACCTGCCTGGCCACAGCCTGAGCTGGGCAAAGGTGAGCACAAACTTGGCCCCTGCTGGGTGCCAGTAGGTCCCTCCAGGGGTCTCCCCCTCTATAGTGATCTCAGGCTCTGTCAGAGCATAATCACCTTTTGTTGAGTTGGGAATAATTCAGTGCACAAAAAGAAACTGGCTCAGAGACAGTTTGCCCAAGGTCATACTCTGAGCTGGAAATAGAGTCAGGAGGAAGCTAGATCCTCACTTTGATGCTCCTCACAGTCAGCTCCCTGGAAACTCAGCTGACCTTGTGGGACTGACCTCCCAGGGACTCTGGGGTGAAGCTGAGTAAGGTTAGGACCTTGGGACCAGAGGACTTGCTGACCCAGCCAAGGAGCATAGGCCCTGAGTTCTCTTACCAGTGGCTTCTGCTTCTGAAGGTTTTTGGTATCCTGGAGAAAGCCAAGGAGAAGTATGGAGTGGACGACTACTCAGTGAGCCAGATCTCACTGGAGCAAGTCTTCCTGAGCTTCGCTCACCTACAACCCCCCACTGCTGAGGAAGGGCGATAAGCAGCAGTGATGAGGAACATCTGCTGTCTCCGAGGAGCCAGGCAGAAATGGGACAAGACTGTGCACAGCTGTGTATCCTCTTCCTCTGAGTTTCTCTTACACTTTTATTTTTAATCATTTTTTTCTGTGATGGACATGAAAAAATCAAGGTGTTGTATGCAGAATGGACCAAGTGTGTCTGTGCCCTCACACAGGAATTAGCATGCCGATTTCTACTCCTGAAGGCAGACTCTGAAACACCTGTTCCCAGCTCCAGAGCTGGCCCCAGCAGTGTATGTGATCAGCCACAGGTCTGTGGGTAGAGAGCTGTCCCAGATAGGACTGCAGCTGACCTGGGGGCAGTATGGTTGAATTTCTCTATATATTCACACAGAGGACCCAGGGACCTATATATGTTTACACATGACTTTATGTTCCCCTGGGGAGGAAAATAAGCCAGCAGAGATGAGCTGTATCAGGCTGCCAAAAATGGACATAAAAGGTGGAAATCACCATCCATGCAGGGAAGATATCAGCTGTGACTAGGTGCTAAGACCTTAGCTTCTAGTGCAGCCCCAGAGGCATCATTGGAGTCAGTGCTCCATAGGTATGAGTGCTTTGCCAGGCTAAGCTGACCCCAGCCTGGGCATTGCCCACAAGCACCATCTAGAAGCACTGGGCACAGGGAGATGGTGGCACACTTGGAGCACAGTCCTCCATTCCCACCTCTGCACCTTCAAGATATCACCAGCCACAGGACAAGTCAGGGGCCACTACAGGGCTGATATACTAAACATGTTGTGACTGTCCAGAAAATAAAGGATAAGAGAACATGGTCATAGTCTGTGAATAACACATGTATATAGGGGGTTCATGGGGCTCTGATCACTTTCCTACAATCCCAATAAAGGCTGTCATACCAAGTTTCAGACAAATGTAAACAGGAATTTGCTTTACCCAATAGGGAGGAAACTTACAAGATTCACTGTCATGAGGTAAAGGACCAGGCCCAAAAGACAAGTGAAAGCAGTCAGATCAGTGCCTAGCTGACATCTTTAGTCTACAATCAAGGAGAGAAAGCTGGTTGGTGCAGGAGGCTACAGACCTGAGTAGGCAGGAAGCCTCTGGCTCTGGCATTACCCATGGATGTGAAGCCATTTTCCAGAAGATTCTTCAGTATCAGTCCCTTTCTTTGCACACTATTATTTCTCATGGCTTTCTAAAACTTTGTGATTAGAATCTCTGCATTTTACATTCCTTTAAAATTCATAATTTAGCCAGGAATGGTGGCGCATGCTTGTTAATTCTAGCACTCAGGAGGCTGGCTGAGGCAGGAGGATTGCTGAGTTTGAGGCCAGCCTGAGCTACATAATTAGTTGAAGGCCACCCTGAATTAGATAGCAAACCCTGTCTCAAAAGACATTTTTTTTCGAAATTTTAGAAAATTTGTTTTCATCATTTTGGCTCATTAGGGACAACTTCAATTTTTTTTTTTTTTTTTTTTGCAGCACCAGGGATTGAACTCAGGACTTTGCGGTTTTGAGGCAGGCTCAGTGCCACTGAGCTAAATCCCTGGCCCTTCAATTTTTTTGGGGGGGGGCACCAGAGCTCCAACTCGGGACCTTGCACTTGCCAGGCAAGTGCCAGAACCACTGAGCCAAATCCCTGGCCCCTCAAATTTGCTTTTGAGACAGAGGTTTTTGGTTATTTTGAGACAGGGTCTCTATAGTTCAGGCTGGCCTTGAACTCACTATGTAGTCCAGGTTGGTCTCAAATTCACAGCAATCCTCCTGCCTCAGTGCTAGTATTACACGCAATGTGTCATTGTACCTGGCTCCTCAAATTTATTTTGATTAATCTAAAAGTTTATAAAAGATAGTCTCCAGTAGCACTCTTACTGCCTTTAAAAGTCTTCAAATTATCATCAGTTAGTTCCATATTATAGAAAATAATTTAGGGACAGTTGTAGCCTAAACACTGCCCAAGAGAAATCACCTGGCAGTGTACCTATTCTCACGACTTATCAGTATGGCTGCGGGCTCTAGGTCCAGGCCTAGGGCTACATCCTTGTTGGGTTTGTGGGATTAGATGAAGAGAAACAGGCCACTGAATCCATGTGGTTGTTTGGCCACACATCATCCCAAAAGTCCTAGTGTAGGTATCCTTGAACTTGATTTAAGCCCATGTGTAGAGATTTAGGAATCTGTCATATTTCTCCTTTGATATCATAAAAATGTGTGAGAAAAGCTGTTTAGGCCTGAGAGAACAGCCTATGGGATCACACAGGTGAAACCAGCCTGCCTCAGTTAAAACCTGAGGAGTCTGGCCACCCTCCATAGGGTGGGATGAAGCTACCGGCAAGGGTCTTAAGTGAGGATCCTTTTAGGAAGTTGATTATCACCTGTGGAGGGGACAATGTGGACACAGCCCAGACCACCGCATGGGAACATCCAGAAGAATCTGGGTGTCTGTGGGAAGAGTCCAAGGCTGTATGAAAGCCCAAAGCTTGGACAACTACAGGAACAACCCAGTTAGAAGGGATCCCAGAGCATCCGGAAGATTTCACATAGTTGCCAGGAGTGTCTTTAGGGCTAGACACTCAGTGCTGAGTCATCAGAACTAGAGCCAAGCTGGGTGTGGTGGAGCACGCTTATGATCCCAGCACTTGGGAGGCAGAGGCAGGAGGATCACATTGAGTTCCAAGCTAGCGTGGGCTACATAGTGAATTCAGGGCCAGCCTGAACTATAAAGTGAGACCCTGCCTCAAAAAACACAAAAAAGAGACCCAAGACCAGGCCTCAGGAACCCACCCCTATTAGCCCTTCTTTTTTTTTTTTTTTTTTTCCCTCTCCAGTATTGAGGATTGAATCCAGGACCTTTATACTGCGTTACTTTTTTATTTGGGGGGACAAAGTCTCACTAAGTTGCCCAGGTTAGGCTCCAGATTGAAATCCTCCTGGGATTACAGGTGTGTGGCACCACAGCCCAGCTCCATTGGCTTTTTTGAGCTGTGGCAATTCTAAGCCCCAGGCAGGGCAGGGGAAGCCATGGATTCCTGGGACAGGAGAATCTGGCCTGCCCACCCCTTCCTGTTCCTATCCCTCCAGACTATCAGGGCCCAGGTGACTCTACAAATGCTGTTTCTAGATTTTTTTTTTTCCTCATACAGGGGATCAAACTCAGGACCTTGCTCTTGTGAGGCAGGTACAGTGCCACTGAGCTAAATCCCTGGCCTTTGTTTCTAGATTGTTGCTGCACCAGGCTATGTAGCATTACCCAGGGACCCAGATTCTGCTCCACTTCCAGCTCCAGACAGACCCTGGAGATGTCATTCCACCTCTGCTGCTCCACATGGCTGCCCAGCTCCCTGTGGGGCTGAGGACAAGGCCTGTGGAACAGCCTATGTGTTTTGTTCTTGAGTCCTGCCTGGTCTGACTATAGCTCAACTGAACACTCAGACACTATCACTGCACCTAGAATTTGGCAGGGGACTACAACAGGGGGGATGGGACTAAGAAGAAGATCTCCCACCACCTTTTCAGGTTTAAAGTGGAAGGGCTACCTCCACCCCAGGGGAACAGAGGGACATGGCCAGCCCTCAAGCAGCTCAAGTCACAGATAAAGGGGAACCCACCTCCAGGCCAGGCTTGCAGCATGTATCAGAAACCCCAGATCACAATGGTTTAAAGATAAAAGTTTATTTCATGGCATGTATGAGGTCTGGGCAAGGCAATGTGGGGCATCACCTCCAGGGTCTCAGGGACTAGGCTTTACCCACCTGCTCTGCCATTCAGGTGGGGACTTCTTTCCTTGTGTCACCTCTGAGTCTGGAATAGGGAAGGGAAAAGGAAAGCACACTTGGCCAACCAGAATCATGAACCCCCACCCATCCCACCCCCATCACCCAGAATAAAGATATGCAGCTACACCAGGTAAAGGAAACCCAGATACCAGGGCATGTCTAGCAGTCTCCACTAGAGGGCAGGGGTCCCCCTTCCCCATGCACACCAGCATTTCCACCTGAGCTGGTGACATGGATCTGAAAAAGGACCCTTTTTCACCTGATGGACCCTCATGGCTTGGGATCTGGGCAGGCAGGTGGGGGACTGAGGCTGTGGGGTCAAGCCTAGGGAGCAAGGGCCCTGCCTTCCTCCTCAGCATAAGGGGTTGCCCAGGCCCTGCTCCTGGGACCTGGCCCACACCCCACAGATGCTAGTGTCCAGTGATTCTGGGGTTAGAGAAGCTCCACATCACCTGCCCTGCCACAGGTCTGCCCAGTTAGTCAACACTACAACTTTGCCTCCAGCTCATCAGTTTAGCTCGAAGATCAGCATCCAGCTCTCACCAGACCTCACCCCATTCCCTGTTGAGTCCACTCTAGGGGCACAGCTCCAGTATCTCCACCTTTGATTTCAACATGCCAGAAACGGATATGTGCCCCAGCGTGGTGATGCATGCCTGTAATCTCAGCACTGGGGAGGCTGAGGCAGGAGGATCACCACAAATTCGAGGATCACATCGAGTTCCAAGCTAGCCTGGGCTACATAGTGAATTCAGGGCCAGCCTGAACTACAAAGTGAGACAAGAGAAAGAAGAGAAGAGGAGGGGAGGGGAGAGGAGGGGAGAGGAGGAGAGAGGAGGGGAGGGGAGGGGAGGGGAGAAGAGAAGAAAAAGGAAGGAAAGGGAAGGAAGGAAGAGGAAAGGAAGAAGAAAGGAAGAAAGAAGAGAAAGAGAAAAGAAAAGAGAAGAAAAGAAAAGAAACATGCCTCACAAGTGAAAGGTCAAGTTCAATCCCTGGTACCAGAAAAAAAAAATGGATGTGTGGCTCTGAAGTAGAGAGGAAGCTCCCAAACCCACTGCTCAGGCTCCACAGGCCCCTCCAGACAGCAGCCTGCACCTGTGCAGGTCCACAGATTCTTGCTGGAGGGGCCTCAGGCATAGGTGTCCCCCTCCCTCAAGGTACAAATGAACAAGGGGGACCTCCCATAGCTCCAGACACTGAGCTAGCCAAGCTTGCCTGAACCAGCTGCCTGGCACACAGAAGGACCTGACCAACACCTCCTTTAGCCCCTCCCCTCCTCAGACAGATGCCATGCTTTGGTGACCAGACCCTCAGCAGACAGCAGCTCCTCCTTTTGCATCTCCCCCAGTCAGGAGCCATCAGCCTCTCTTCCATGTGGCTAGGCCTTTCCTCCCTTAGCACAGAGCCAGGTTTAGCAACAGGCAGAGGTGCTTCCTTGACATGGTTTATGAGGGGTGAAGTGCCCATCTAGACCTAGGTTAACCACCACCACAGTCCAGGCTATCCCTGACCCTATGAGTGATCCAGGCCACCAGCCCCCAAAGACAGGCATCTCAGAACCCCTCAGGCCATGGAGATCATTCTGCCTTAATACTATGCACTCTCAAAGTTCAAGCAGCTCCAAATCCCTAACAGATGACCCTCAACAGCCCCAAAAGCCCTAGGAAGGTGAGGGAAGGGGTCTTAGGACATAGGGCTTGGGTCCACAGAATGCCTGTGGTGCAGCATTCCTGGACCCTAGCCAGCTACCAATGCTTCCTCCAGCAAGCTAAGATGCTCTAGGACCCTGAAGGCCTCAGGTTCATAGCCCTCAGCCTACAAACCCCTAGCAGGGTGGCACTGGGGCTGGAATATGTGATGATAGGACTCCTGGAAGGAAGAGGAAGTGTTCAGACTTTCAGTGCTCAAAATTGTTCCAAACATGTTTCTGCTGATGCTCAAAAATGGCAAAATCCAGATGTTTGATTCTCAAGCCTCAACAACTGATAGCATATTTGATTATAAAAATCCGTATTTAAAAACAAATTTGATCAAAGTGCCTGAATACATCATGCCCTCAGATTTAATATAAAATGTGTAGGGCCCAGGATGTAGCTCAGCAGCATAGCACCTGACTGGCAAGTGAGAGGTCATGAATTCGATCCCTGGTACCAAATAAATAAAATGTGTTAAAGATGGGCTAGGGATTTAGCTCAGTGGTGCCGTACCTGCCTGGCAAGCACAGAGTCCTGAGTTTAATCCTCGGTACAAAAAAAAAAAAATAGTGCTAAAGCTTATATGTATGCCAAATTAAATTACTTAGGACCATTAAAAGAGCAGGAGGGCCGGGATTTACCTCAGTGGTGATGCCACCTGCCTCGAAGCAAGGTCCTGAGTTTGATCCCCGGTACCAAAAAAAAAAAAAAAAAGCTGGGAGGAGCTAGGCATGGTGGTGCACTCCTGTAATTCCAGCACCCGGGAGGGGGGGGGGCCTGAAGCAGGAGGATTTCCCTGAGTTCTAAGGCAACAAAGTTCTGTGTACAACAAGTTCAAGTCCAGCCTGAACTACACAGCAAGGCCCTGTCTCAAATAAAAAAGCAAGGAGGGACTGTTAGCCCAGTTGGCCCTATCCTTACTCTCCTGTTGCCAGGATAGGGTCACCAGGCAGCCTTCTTCCCCTCACAGTGTCAGTGCTGCACTGGTTACAGGCGCTGGGAATCCCAGGAGCTTCTCAGTTCACAGGTTCCACTGACTCAAGAGAATTACACATGCTGCTTGGTTGACCACCAAAGGCCTTATCCCCATCAGTCACTCTCCAGGACCCCTTCTCTACAGCAGAGACAGGCTGAAGTCCCCAAAGGACTGCCCTTCAGATCTACTTATTCTTCATATCCGTCCATGACAGATGTTACAATAATACAGGGAACTGAACTTATTCTAAATGCCCCTCACATCAAATCGAAGTTCAGTTGCAGGTGTGTGTGTATGTGTGACCAGACTGATGGGGCCTGCCAACCCCACCTCCAGGAATGAACTCATGTCTCGGTGGAGTGGCCTCAAGCTAGTTTCTCCTCCCAGCTATTGTGTCCCAAACTCTTTGGACAGCCCTCAGTCCAGGTTAAAGGGTTAAAACGCCACTCACTCCTGGACCGGGGCCAGAATGACAGGCTCTGAAAGGTAGTATGCAGGCACAGGCTGAAACACCCACTGAAGACCACTTTACCCCGCCCCCTCCACCCCTCCCAGATCACCAAACTGCATGCTGGACTCTTCCTGTCCTTCCTTGTGACATGTAACCCATCCCTTTTTCTTTTCCTTGTGGCTGCGACCCTGTTCAGACAACGACAGGGGCTGAGTGCATCTAAGATCCTTCTACAAATAATCACGACTGCTTGCCAAGCACAGAGGGGTAAGGCAAGGCACTGTGGTTAACAAAACCCACAGCCTCCTACCTGGACCGGAGCCTCCACACCCGCACCCTCCGTCTTTGTCAAAAGGTCCAGGGTCGCCAGACCAGACTTTCTAGCAGCTGCTGGGATCAAGATTCGGCACAGCACCTGGCACATCCTCCACGTCCCTAACAACCTTTCCTTCCTCTCAACAGGCCTAGAAGCCTTTGCACCTATGGCTCCCCTGCCCCGCATGCCCTTCCAGGCGGGACCCAGCTGCAATGTCACCTCCTCGGTGTTACCTCCCCTTTTAGCCGCTCCTCGTTCTAGGTGCACAGTCTGCAGCACCTACCGATTGAGTTCTGCCTGCGCAGAGGCCGCACATTCGAAGTCACCCATAAACTACCAGAGGGTAGTTACAGCACGAACCCAAGGCCTGCCCCTTTGGACTGCCGGCGGCTCTGCGGGCCCTCACGGCCCACTGCCTGAAACTACAATGCTGCACGACCCTCCTCGCCTACTTTAGCTCGGGGGCCCAAGTACGCAGAGCTGCGAAGCCAGGAGCTGCCGCGGTCTCAGTGTGCACACTCAGGAGCACGGCAGGAAAAGCCGTGTTAACTCCTTTCTCACCGTCCCGCTACCCGTCTACCCTGAGAGTCCCTCCCGGCCCCGGCGAACAGCCAGTCTGCCTGCCCAAGTATCCGAGCAACCAGCCCCGGAAAACTCGAGACCCAGACGGAAAAAAACACTAAGCGTCCTCAACGCGAATTCCCACAGGAATCCGGGACCTTTTAACAGTCCGACGATTGCGCCCATTGGCTGAGGTGCTTGCGTCATCGCTACGCGCCGGACAGGGGCACCTTCCTCTGACGACAGAACGGCGCCCGCCTGAGAGGCTGAGGCGAGCGGGAGGAGGTGGTGGTGGCAGCGGCGGCGGCGGCGGGAAGATGTAAGTTGGGGGCTGAATCCGACCGCATCCGAGTTTCGGGGGCCGCCCGTCAACCCCGGGGAGGTACCTCGTGAAGTCTGCTGGCTTGGCAGTCTCGTGGTGTGGCAGCGGCCTGGCGACGTGGCACAGAGCTGAGTGCGAGGAGAAAGATTGTGGCTCTGGGCTGGCTGAGTGGGAGGCGTCGAGGCCGTGGCCCGGAAGTGGTCGGGGCCTTCGCGGACTGAAGAGCGGCCCAGTCAGGCCGGCGAGAATTGGGGGCCGCCGGGAGTGCGGCTTCAGCCTTCGGGGCTCCACGCCGGGCAGAGACTCAGGCCACCACGCCAGGCTCTGCCTGGGGAGCAGTGAGTGAACGGTTGGGGACGGAGGGGAAGTGGGGGGGCGAAGTCGGCGTGTGGGGCCCAGGCGGGGACATGCAGAGCTGCTTTGTGAGGACGCCTGGAAGCCTTGACCTTTCGTTTGAGAGTCGTTAATTTAAACATTAACTCCACAAAAGTTTGTTGAGAGTCCCTGTTTGCCGTTCTCTGCGCTAGGGCTGAGGGTCCGGCCTAGCGTGGACCGAGCAAGGTGACTGCACTCAGAAGGGAGGGTGCGGGAAGGTTAAGGTCGATGGTGAGAGATACGGAGTAGGCTTTTTCTACCTTTTTTATTTCTCACGCATTGTGTCTGAAATGCACGTATACTTGGGGGAGGGTACTTTTAAGATTTGTACAGGAACGCCATCTGCTCAAGAGTTAACTAACTGTTCTCTCCTTTCTCTGGCTGTTGGACGCGCACCTTTCCGGAGGATGGGGGAGGTAACCAAGGTCCTGAGCTGTTACCTGAACTTGTGTGAACAGAGAATTTCAACCTTTGCTTTCTAGCATTCGACCACACCCAGCCAAGCGTTCCCTTACTTTGTGGATCTTAATTATAAGACAGCTTGCCTCGAAAGCGCAAGGTCCCGAGTTCGATCCCCGGTACCAAAAAAAAAAAAAAAAAAAAAAAAAAAATAAGCGGCCGTGCTTGTTTCACAAAGCACCTTCTGGCAGATGTTGGGAGGGGGCTGGAATCTAAGAATGTAATCTTCACGCTGGATCTGTGCTGTCCAGTACAGAGTATAGGACACTGGTGGCTATGAAGCATTTGAAATGTAGCTTCCAAACAGATACTAACAGACGTACCAGATTTAGAAAACCTATGAGAAAAAAGTAAAATTTTATTAGTACATTTTTATATTGGATGTACATTAGATAACTTGAACATAATATGTCAAGTATATTAATTTATTTCACCTGTTTTGTGAGGTAGGTATTAGGAGGTTACAGGTTGTGAGCATGACTCACACTTTCTTTTGGATAGTGCTGTTGTGATGAGGGTCTTCAGGGGCCACTTGTTGAGCATTCAGAGATAATTGTAAATTTGGAGGCAAAAGGATCTCCAGACATGGAGAAACAACCCTTTCAACATTAGCTAATATTTATTGAGCTTTAACTGGGTGCCATATCAGATTTATAGATTAGTGTGGTTAATGCCTTTGATAGCTCTGTAAGATGGGAACTGTAATTGTTACGATGTTACTGATGAGAAACCTCCAAAAACAAGTGACACTTTCAAGGTTACACAACAAAGCCTCAAATCCAGCCATTCTGACTTCAGGCTCAACCACCAGATTATTTATTCACTGATTGTCCAGGAATATTCACCTTATAAGGTGCTGCCTACTGGGTGCCTATAATATACTGTTGTTTTAAAGTAGAATGGTTTGTAAAGAATTTGCAATTCTGTCCCAGCATGATGGAGCAAAACAGTAATTCCAGCACTGGGAGTCTGAGACTGGAGGGGATTGCCGGGGGTGTAGCTAGTGCAAAGGCCCTGGGTTCAAACTTCAGCACTTGGGGAAAAAGGATATACAGTTCTGGAAAGGAGCAGGAAAAGTGCTGCTACTCTGCCCTCTTCCATTTGACTTTCCAAAACTGGGGGCTTTTTCTTGTTCTTTCAGAACATTTTTTTTCAGTATTTCAAAGCAACCTCTGCACATGTGAATACAGTGCGCCAGTGGTGTGCTGTGTCCACCTTACTTACAAGTTGAGGAAAGTGAGTCAAGAATTGACCTTAAATTTTAAGCCAGGAGTGGTGCCAAATGCCTGTAATCAATCCCAACACTCTGGGAGGCTGAGAACAATGGCAAGTTCACTTTTGCCTCAGCAGCTTAGTGAGATCCTGTCTTTAAAGAAAAATAGGTCTAGGGGCCGGGGATTAGCTCAGTGGTTTCACCACCTGCTGCGAAAGCACAAGGAGCCGAGTTCGATCCCTGGTACCAAAAAAAAAAAATACGTCTAGGAATGTAGCTCAGTGGTAATGCCCTGGGTTCAATCCCCAGTACTGCAAAAAA